GGGATCCCACTAGACAAAACTGCTTAATTGAGGGGGTCCACCCAACCCATTTACAGATGAGACCTCAAATAACCAGGCCATATTCCATAAAGAATTTTATAGGAGAAAACCAGCTTCTTGACTTGCACCCAGAAGCCATCTGGCAAACAGTGCAGTGACAGAGCAGTGATGACACACGGGCCTATGGAAGCACACCCATAACTGCTTGTGCTACTGCTTGTCTTTTGACCAGTTGTCACTTCTGGCTAGTCTTCAGATGCAGCCCCAGTAGATACTCCAATTGTGAGGTGAGGAGGATACAACTGAAGTCTGAAGGGCCTCCTATTCTAGAAATAGGTGCAACGGGTACATAAGATGGGGCTCCCCTTGAGGTGCACCCGGAGGCTCCAACTAGTTCAGAATGCGGCCGCGCGGGGGATCCTGGGGGCCTCTAGATGCTCCCATGTAACACCTCTCCTGCGCGAGCTGCACTGGCTGCCTGTGGCCTTCCGGGTGCGCTTCAAGGTGTTAGTAACAACCTTTAAAGTGCTCCGTGGCAATGGACCTAGGTATTTGCAAGACCGCCTCCTACCAAACACCTCCCTTCGACCAGTCTGCTCCCACAGAGAGGGCCTCCTTAGGGTGCCGTCGGCCAGACAATGCTGGCTGGCGACCCCCAGGGGGAGAGCCTTCTCTGTGGCAGCTCCTGCCCTCTGGAATGACCTACCCCCCGACCTACGTACAGTTGCGGACCTGCGCCTTTTTCGCCGAGCCCTGAAGGCCCATCTATTCCGTGCGGCCGGCCTGGCGTAGTTTGATTATGTTTTAGTGGGGGTTTTGTATGGGGTATTTTTAGAGCAGGCCTGTTATTTAATTTGATTTTAGACAGAAATTTGTGTATATTTATCGTGGTTTTTATTATCGCCTGTTCACCGCCCTGAGTCCCGTAAGGGAGATAGGGCGGTATATAAATTCAATAAATAAATAATAAATAAATAAATAAGATGAACCCATGCAAAGATTCTTCTGGCTACAGTTGCCACCAGCTCTCTAAGCAGTAATTGTAAGCCCAGGAAGACATACACCCCCAGGCTGCCCCCAATATCCCATGAAGTCCCCCACATGTTCATTCAAGGACACTGTAGGAAATTAAAAATTGTAGCTTGGGGACTGCCATCTTGAATTGCACAACCCAGCAGATGCCCCAGTCCTGCACACAATGGCATATTGCTGATCACACTGCTACAACCATTATCAAGGGACAGAGCAACGAGAGCTTTGCAAAAAGTTACCACAATTTGACATCTCCTGTCCTAACGTCTCAGCCTGAGCAACAATTGTGTTTTTTTTCCCCTTGCAGTTGATAAACAACGCCGCAATGCAGGTATCCTCGGAGGCATCCTTGTAATTATCACCATCGCCATGTGCATCTTTTTCTGCTGGTAGGTTTTTGGTCCTTTACACTTCGTAGAACCTGGCTGCCATATTGGGTTATAGGACATTATGGGGAGGCAATTTGCAGTTTTCAGCATTAATTGACATAATCTGTTGATTCATTCTTTGGGATTTTAGCCATCAAAACATCAGGACCCTGAGCAGAAATAGGTAGTCCTCAACTTACAACTGGTCAGTTAGTGACCGTTCAAATTATGATGGACCACAAAAAAGGTACATATGACCCAGATTTGAAAGTTTAATACTCCCTTATGGCCCATGTTCGCATTTTGGGCATGTGACAATGGGTCAGCATTTATGGCTGTTTGCAGAATCCTGTGGTCACATGACTGAAAATTATGGGGGGAAAAATTGTCAGAAACTGCCAAAAACAATGGGACAATGGGTTCGCTTAATGACCGCAGCATTTGTTTAATGATTGCAGATTCACTTAATGATTGTGGTGATTCAACTGCTGCAAAAAAGTCATAAAATCAGGGCGGTCTCACTTAATGACCATCCCAACTTACAACCATAATTCTGGGCTCAATTCCAGTCATAAGTCGAGGACTACCTTTATATACTTCATTCTTTCCATCACAAAGGAACTCTTTTGCTCAATTCCAAGATTTATGGAAGTTGAGCATCCAGCAGGTGGCAATTGCACACTGCACTTCTTCTGGATTTGGTACCTCCCATATTTTCAGATCATGTCTGGAAAACTGTCCATACTTCAGCTTTATCTGTTGCAAACACTCCATGTAGGAACCAAAGGCTAGACTGTCTCCTGGCTATTGGCCCAAAGTTTCCAGCAGATTTTCATAATTAAGGCGGGATTAGAACTCACAGTCTCCTGGGGATTGGCCCAAAGTGTCCTGCTGATTTCATGCCTAAGGCAGGATTAGAACTCACAGTCTCCTGGTGATTGGCCCAAATGCCCTGCTGGTTTTCATGCCTGAGGTGGGACTAGAACTCACAGTCTCCTGGTGATTGGCCCAAAATCTCCAATTGGCTTTCATGCCTAAGGCAGGACTAGATCTCACAACCAAGATATTGTAACCTTGTCAACTTGCTCTGTGCTGAAATCTTTCCTTTCCATAAAAGAGCTGGAAGTTCTTTACTGAAATTCTATACTGAAATTTAATATCGTTCCTGTATTATTATATAGCAATTCCATTGTGTCTATAGTACAGCAGCAGAACACAAAGTTCTGTTCCTTGATTTCTCCAAGTGAGGCCCGTAAAATACTATCCCAAAGATAGTTTTGCTTTTCATCAGCTTCTCCATGACCCCATGAGACATTTTGGTTGGAGATGATGAGAAACATCCCCTGCATTTATGCTACATGCACCAACCACTTGCTCACATTCAGCTTTGGATGAAAGCTCTTTTCAGCACACTCATTGGAGCAAAACACTTCCTTGAGACCCCTTTTGCAGAGTATGGCTGTGTATCAAGCTGATTGGCTGCCTCTTGTGTCAGTCAGCCCTTTGGAACAGATTTCAAAGGGAAAATATGCAATGAGAAAAATCTAAACACAAGTTAACCATAAATGAGTGGGGAAAATTGAGGTATTTGTAGCAATAGAAATACAGAACCACACACCTGTGTAATACAACTGTCCAGAAGGGGTGGGTGATGATGAGGGAGGCAAAACACAAGTCAAGATGGTGTCTGTGTCCATTGTGATCCTAACCCTAACCCAGTTAACTGGTAGGAGTGCAGTTCTGGACAGGATATGGAGGATGTCAGTGGAAGAATACAGGTGGTTCTTTACTTACAACCATTCTTTAAGCTGCTGTTCAAAGTTCCAATGGTGCTGAAAAAAAGTGACTTATGATGGATCCTCGCACTTAGGAGCATCGCAGCGTCCTGATGATCGTGAGATCAAAATTCGGACACTTGGCAACCAGCATGTATCTATGTTGCAGTGTCCTATAACCACATGCCGGCCATTTGCCACTTCCCAGCTGGCTTCCGACAAGCTGGATTTGCATAAGAACTGTAAGATCCACTTAACGACTGTGGTGATTTGCTTAAAGACCACAGGAAAAAAGGTTGTAAAATCTGGCGTGACTCACTCAGTGACTGCCTCGCTTAGTGATGGACGTTCAGTCCAACTGTGCTTGTAAGTCAAGGACTACCTGTAACTATCCCGTGTGGAAAGGGTGGTGCTTCTGTGTTCTAATCCTACCATTCATACATGCAGCTTAACCCCAGGTGTCCAGAGGGGACTGGAGGACGCCTGACATCCTGCTCAGAGTTTGTTACATGTGAAATGCACACAGGAGCACCCTTCATTCCCCGCCCCGTATTCTGAGGTTCTTCTTTCCCACACAGGAGATTTAAAGAGTTGCAGCGGAAGGAAAAAATGTCTCGGACGTCACGAGGTGGGAGTGAAATGGCCGATTACTTAGTCAAACTCTTAGATGAGGAAAGCGAGGCTGACGACTACAAGGGACATGAGCTACTAGATTCCTGGGCCCAAGGAAGTTACTCACCCGAGCCAGGAGGAGGAAAAGGAGGACCAGCAGAACAACAGTCGAGTCCAGAGCTGGGCTCCGAAGGCAGTCCTGAACCAATGCAACCGGCGGTACCAGAACCACCAAAGCCAGAAGCAGCACCGGCCCCTTCAGAGCCCCCACCCCCTCCAGCACC